CTTTTAAACTAAAGTATTAGATTTAATGCCCTTCACCCTTTATCTTCAGATTTTATTGGTTTACACAAACAACTGATTACAACTTATAATGTAACGTAGGCTATGTTCTGATGTCATTTGATGCAACATTTCAGTCTATATATTAATAAATAACAACAACACATGTATTACTGATTTATTTAAAGTTTGTAGAAAACCACTGTTCTGGGATTTTGGGGACGAAAGAATATTTATGTATCTGGGCTAAATCCTTCTCCCCCTTTGCCCAATTCTGTCCTTTATTAGGCTCAGTTCATGGCTCCGTCGTATCAATTTTACAACAGTGCAACTCCATTAAGGGCAATGGAGTCACGCCACCATAAAACTGGTATATGACAGCAATGAAGCAGGCCCACGCACTCCAGTGGGATTTTCCTATTTGGTTTGTACCCCTGAAGCGCATAATCATTTATTCACATAAGCAGTGCCGATGGGAGCTTGTCTGTAAGGGATGTGGCCGTGAGTGAGGGTTGCAGGACTAAGCTCTAATTTTGGAAGAGGAGGGTTGGATTCTGTATATTACAGACACAATATAGATAAACGCATATATAGGTATAAGGCCCAAGCCCATGAAAATCAATGGGAGTTGAGGGTGTGCCACACCTTTCTGCATGTGGCGCTGGGTACTTAGTGCTCAGTAACACACAGCAGACACCTCTGTAGAAGGGGTGTGGGGAACGTTACTGTACTACAGTGCTTTCGGTGGCAAAAGATTGTAACAAATGCTGATGAGTCACATGGAAACCACCCAGGGGATGCTACAGGGCAAATATCTTAGTGTCCCTGCTGAAAAGCTTAGGAGCTGGTTCAAAACCTCAAACAGCAGCAGCAGAGAAGACATTTGCCTACAAAGCTGTGTTTCTGCTCAGGGCTTTGATCTTTCCAGATGCTGCTGCTGTGCTGAAAATCGGCCCGTTCAGACAACCCCCTTCCCAGACTTCTGCTTTGGTTTGCAGTGAAAAGAACATAAATGTTCCCTCCAGTGGACAAATCCCTGTAACGCCCGAGTGCAATCATATTCTCCCCCAGTTACATCGGAGCGGCTCCACTGATTTCAAAGGAATTGCGCCAGTGTAAATGAGAAGGAAAACTGGCTCCATAAGGTTGCAGAGAGGGTAAGGATTTGACCCATTGTCCATATTTTTAAACAATCATTGCATGCTACATAGATCGACCTTCCAGGCCTTGCTTCTCCCTTTCCCTGCATGGATCTTGGGGCCTGACTCTGGTAAATGTCTCCCTCACTTTAAATGATGTGGATTCCTCCAATCCACAACCCTTTCCCCCAGCTCCGAGTCTGCGGGTTGCAAGGCTGTGCTAATTTCAGAGTCTGCGGAGGAGAGAGCAGCAGCAGATGCTCAAAAGGAGGAGACGGCTTTTGGCTTTGACAAGGCTATGAACGCAGACTTAAAAGTGGGTTCTTTTCACGCACCATTAAATCAGGAATTCATTAAAGCCTCATCAAACCAAGGCTTGGATCAAGTTCATGGCCATCTCGGATGGGCCTGATCCTCCCTCTTTAGGCTCTGAGGTTGGTATCCTGCAAAGGTTTAAATTAGGCACCTTGGGACCATGTTGGGTAACATTTTCAAAAGTGCCTGAGCCTAAATCCAACTAGGAGCCTAAGCCACTAATTTTACCCAGTCCGTCGTTGATTTTTACACCCAACTTCCCATTGTTCAGCTTTAAAAAAATCAATGCCACAAATATAGGCTCTTTGGTTTTGGTTTCACGCTGTATCATAATGTAATAAAGCCTGTGTTGTTCTCCCCACAAATCTGACTGTAATGGAAATGACATGCAAGTGTACACTTCAGGATTCAGCCCACGGGGCTTGTGTTTCTTTTACACTTTGGCACATTTGTGTAGCTTGTTGCAAATAAATAAACCAAAGTATTCTGCCCGCACTTAATGACCCCAGCCAGGTTTGGGGCTCCGCTGTGCTAGGCACTGTAAAAACACAGAGCAGAACCCAGCCATCCCACTAAAGTCTATGGTTGAATTGAACTGTGTGCATTTCCCTCGTGTTATTATTTACAACTGAACATGATTTTATCTCCTTTCACACTACATATAGCGAGGTTTTCCCCCTCCATATGTGCCTATCACTCCGATTTCCTGCAATAATTTCATTTCTTTCACCTGGACTTTCTAACCAGCTGTTCCCCTCTTGTAATGAATCTCTCCCTTTGCTTGTTAACTGCCTTCCTACAGCTTTTCCACATTTCATACCAACACCTAGAAAAGTACAGTCTCCGCAAAGTATCCCCTTAGGTTAGAAAAGCCACCCAGCTGGAAATGATCCTTGTTCCATTTAAATACTAAGGGCTAAGGCCTGCAGGCAAAACTCCCATGGAATCCAGTGGGAATTCATCTTGAGCAAAGATGTAGGTTTGAGCCCTAAATCAGTGGTTCTCAACCAGGGGTATGTATACCTCTTGGGTATGCAGAGGTCCTCCTGGAGATACACCAACTCATCTAGATATCTGCCTAGTTTTACAACAGGCTACATAAAAAGCACTAGCAAAGTCAGTACAAACTAAAATTCCCAACAGACAATGACTTGTTTATACTGCTCTATATACTATACACTGAAATGTACGTACAATATTTATATTCCAATTGATTTATTTGATAATTATATGGTTAAAATGAGAAAGTCAGCCATTTTTCAGTCATAGTGTGCTGGGACACTTTTGTATTTTTATGTCTGATTTTCTACTCAAGTAGTTTTTAAGTGAGGTGAAATTTGGGGGTACGCAAGCCAAAGACTCCTGAAAGGGGTACAGTAGTCAGGAAAGATTGAGAGCCACTGCCCTAAATGACTGGATTGGGGGTTATATTTAAAGCAATCATTGTTGAACTTCAAGCAGCTATAAAACGTAATTTAAAATTTTCATACCCAGCTCTCATGCATATTTTTAAGTTTAAATTTTTACTTGTACTAAGTACTTTTTATTTTAAAACCCAAATATATTTTGCTTGCTTAGGCCCCAATCCTGCAATCGGATCCACCCAGGAAGACACCCCCCCGTGTAAACTATAGCACTACATAGGCAAGGCGGTCTACTGGCACAGATCCATTTGCTGAATTGGGGCCTTGGTCTTGAACTTAAAATTATACCCAGCCATACTTTCCTGTAACACTGAATGTAAAAGATCATGAATGTTCGGTTGGTGGGCTGGACAATATAATTGGTACTGTACAAAAGCACAAAGACCAATTCAACCCCACGCCCTAAGAGCTTAGAATCAAAGCTTGTAACCTACATACCCGAACAAGTGTGGTGTTTACTGCTAGGGATAGCTGCTTTGAAGTCAATGGAACTACTAGGATAGTAGGTTCTGTGCTTAGTACTAAGTGGTAAGGATTGGGCCCTGAAAGTCAGATGCATAGAAGAAAGATGGGCTGAAAAATGCAGAGAGGGGAATAATTTAGAGAGGCTTCAGGTATTCCTTGGTTTGGTTTTGTTGTGGTATTTAAAATTATTATTAACTCGCTACTTGTGGGCAATGGAGAAGATATGGGGTTTTTAGGAGCAGTCTAAAAGATTATTGAAATATGTCAGACATCATTTATTGCACATCTTAACAATGCTGTCTGATAACACCACAAGGCTGGTACAAACTTTGTCTTTAAAATACCAGGTGGCACTTTTTAAACGCCTTTGTAACGACAACAAAATGCTCCAAGAGTTTGAGACACCCAGTCCCCGAACAATAACTACCTGGATTTGTGAAAAGTTTTAAATAAATCATCCTAGAGCATTGTACAAATTCATACTAGACTAGGAGGAACAATTGTGCTAAATACTATTATCTACAGGCACGTTGTGCATGAATTCAAATAATTTTCCTAGTACTGTGTTGTATTTTTAAACTACACCACCCTCAGCTGAGGCTAAACCAAATAGGGTGGTAGAGAGAACGTGGAGAGGAAACGGGATTTAGAGATGATAGGCTTGTGATTATACAGAGGATTCACTTCTTTTCCCAACCCCCATCTCTCCAAAATAAAATAAAGAGGCAACATTTTTCGTCGCTTAGGCGGATTTTGAAAACCTGTGCACTTTTTGTTACATCAGCATGTAGCCTCCTAACTAAAAGTGACCAGGCGTCACCAAGATTTTCAAAACCGGGGGCCTAAAGATAGTCTCCTAAATCTACATCAGGCACCTAAATAAGTGGTTTCGTTTTCAAAAGCGCCCAGGACCCAACAGCTCACATAAAAGCCCATGGAAGCCAGCGGGGTGCTTATCACCTTCCACTTATTTAGAAGAGTAAATATGGATATAGCTACTCTTTTCCCTTCCTCTTCTCCCCTGCCTCATCTTCCTCACCCCGCTTCCTTCAGTGGGCCCTCTCCTTTCCCTTTCCTTCAGCTTATCCCCTCCTAACTCACCCACACACCCCAAAAATGGGACACTACCATGCCATAGGCCATTGTTCACTCTGCTGGTGTGTTATACCCATTCCCCCTCTGTCCTGTCTATTTAGACGCTCTCCAGGGCAGGCACTGTGTATAGAATCATAGAAGATCAGGGTTGGAAGGGACCTCAGGAGGTCGTCTAGTCCAACCCCCTGCCCAAAGCAGGACGGACCCCAACTAAATCATCCCAGCCCCTAGCACATTGGAGCCTTGTTCTTGATGAGTCCCTAGGCCCTGCCCCAATAACCAGGACTAATAATAATTAATAACAACTTGGGGCACCCAAGCCGGAAAGCGTTGGCCTTGGGCCGCTCCTTGTTTTCTTACGCAGCCAGCTCCTAATTCAGCCCCCATTTCTCTACCTCCCCGAGCAGTCCCGCGTCCCCCCTTCCCAGGACCCGTCTCTCCAGAGAGGTGCGGCCCGGCCAGCCCCACTGCCTCGCAGCCTGCAAAGCAAACTCCCCGGCGCCCGTTCCCGAGCCAGCGCCCGGGACCGGCGAAGCAGCCGCTGCCCCGGGGCGGCGGCACTTACCGAGGTTGGCGTGGCGGGCGGCTCCCGCGGCGCCCCGGTTGGGCAGGTTGTGCAGCATGGGGCTGTCGAAGGGCGAGGCGCTCCAGGTGGTGCCTATCTCCGGGCTCATGTAGGCGGGGTAGGGGCCGGAGTAGGAGCCCCCGAAGCCCCGGCCGTACTGCTCCCGGCTCAGCGGGCTGCTGTACGGGGCGGCCTCCCGGGAGGCGCCGGGCGAGAAGGAGAAGCGGGGCGAGACGGGCGGGTGGGAGGCTCCGGGGTTGTAGGCGGCGGGCTCGGCGCCGGGCTGCGTCCAGATGGAGTGGCTGGAGGCCGGGCTGGCCTGCTGGGAGGAGCCGCCGCTCTGGAGGTAGGGCAGGCTGGGGAGCATGGAGGTGACCCGGGTGGTGGGCACGTAGACGGGGGAGGCGGCCGCCCCGCCGTGCATGAACCCCCCGGCCCCCTCGTAGGCTGGAGGGCCGTGGTTCGCGGCCATGGCCAGGCTCTGATACATCGCGGCGCGAAGCAAGGCCGGGCCCCGCAACAATCCAGAGTGGGGGGACCTGTGGGGGGGGGGGGGGCAGGTTACCAAGTTAGCTCCAGTTTAACTGCAACGCTGCACTGCTGGGAGGGGGGGTTGGTTACTGCCCGCTCCTGCCCAAGGACCCTGCAGTCCTCAATCCGGTCCAGCAAGCCCCAGTCCTCCCTGGGGTCCGCCTTCCACGCCGGGCTTCTCCACGCCGGCGGAGCTGCCTGTCCTCTGCAGGAGCCGGGTCTAGCGCCTCAGCTGCTCCCCCTTGGCTCCATCCAGCAAGCCAAAGCCACCGGGGCTGGGAAGTTTAACCATTGGAGTCTCCTCCCCTCTCCTGCGGGCCGGCTCACACCCACACCTAGCCGAGAGAAAGCACAGCGGGGAGAAGCTGGTTAGAAACAGGGGTGGGGGACACACACACACACACCCAGCCTAGAGCCTGCGGAGATAAGGAGGTTAGAGAGAGCCGGGGAGGAGGGTCACTAGGGGAAGGTGAGAGACGGAGCATTCCCCAAGGCTGCTCCCGGAGCCCCTGGAGGGGGAAAAAAAACTTTGTCCTCAGGTACGACTGGGCCTATTGTGTTGTTAATGTGCCGGAGCCCGGTGTTTGATCTGAAATCACACCGGGGCTGATTGCAGGCGACCAGGAGTCTGAAGCTGTCAAGGGAGAAATGAAATGAAGCGTACACGTGAGGGGGGGTCGCTCGTGACAAAGACACCTACACACCCAGAGGATAGAGAGACATGGACACACAGAGACGCACACACAGAGACACGTGCACACATACACAGATAGAGACACATGCACACACGAATACACAGAGATAGACACATGCACACACACAGAGACAGAGAGGATAGAAACACGTGCACACACACAGATAGACACACGTGCACACATACACAGAGTTTAGAGACATGCACACACAGAGACACACATACACAGAGATAGAAACACGTTCACACATACAGAGTTACACACAGACACACAGAGTTTAGAGACACATGCACTCACACACAGAGGATAGACACATGCACACACACATACACAGATACAAACATACAGAGACACATGCAGACACTGAAATAAACACATGCCAGGCATACATACACAGCACGTGCAACACATACATATACACATATATTCACATACACATGCCTGTATACAGACACCCACATACAAGAGCAGTACAAACACACACACATGCATACATACATAGACACCTACAGGGACCCACACACATAGGCAGTGCAAACGCGCGCAGACATCAGCGGGCGGGAGAGACGGTACGAAATATGAAATAAGTGGTTATATCTAAGTGCAAATGATCCGCTTTGGTTTCCAAGTGAATCCGTGTTAAACAAAAGAAACCATTCTCCGCATTGACGTAGTAACAGCTCTGCTAATAGGAAGCGCTGCGGAATAATTTGTCAATAAATGATCGAGATTAAAAGAAAACGACTTTTTAAAGGCAACTACTAGTAAAGGGGCCCGATCCTCAGGCAAAACTACCAGCTAGCTTCTTGGTGGGATTTTTGCCTAAGAACTCATCGGCTGGAGGGAAAAAATCTCTAGTGATTAAAGAATGCAAAGATTTTCCATAGCCTTCTCTAAGCTTTGGCTCAGGCCCTGGGATTGTAAAACACAAATCAGCTAGGAGTTCTGATTAGTGATGGCCCGGAAAGAAATATATTTAATCGCTTTGTCGTTGGAGAGCTCGAATAATTTCAACGCTGCCAGAGACCTGCCAGCCCTCGAGCAAATTCACGCTATTCCCCCCTCCCCCCCCACACACACCCCAACGCACCCCTTTGGATTTTGAAGCAAAAAAAAATTAAAAATCAATATGAAAGCGGAAGAATAGCATTGCATTGGTAGAGAGGGGTCTCAGACACAGAGATTGTGATCTCTACTTTACCATAAAACTAGTTTAAAAAATAAGTCTCGGCGCCTCCAAAAAGTTACAGGACTGCCCCTTTTACTCCAGCCGTATTTACAGTAAGTAAAGTCACTGATCACTTTTATTAAGCAGAATAATGATTCTGATGCTAAGGGCAGGTTTGCTGAGGGTTGGATTGCTTGAAATGGTGTACAGATACTGGACTGCTGCAGTCTCTTCTTTACAATGTTTGGGGAAATGTTACAGGGTTGTTGGGGTTTTAAGTAACATAGTATTTTGAGAAAAAAATAATGTGGAGAAAATCAGATCCGATGGGTGGATATTTCTGAAAATAAATTCCGAAGAACAGCACCTGCAGAGATTTCTTTCATGAAGTTCCTAATATTCTTTTAATCTTTATTCTCCTGAACAAAAGGAGAACTGGGAAAATTGGTGAACGAGACTGTTTGGCCTTTACCAACAAATATACAATCAAAATTAGTTATTGTTTTTTGTGGGGGTAAAGGGGGGAGACGACCAATAAATTTAAAACATATTGAAAAATTAATACATTCGAAGCCTAATGGAAATTAATTAATTCTTTCCCCATTTTTTATTATAGGCAGTAAAAATATTTTTTATTGATATTGTTTTTCATATGTTATTAATTAGCTGAAACATAGTTTAAGAGAAGATCAAGAATTCGTTTTGGAGACATAAAGTCTGGCGGTAAAATTAAGCAGTGCGGTTTATTCTTTTTGTGATATACTTTTGGATCTAAATATATAAAAATGGATCTTTAGACATGTGTTGATCGCTATTTTTTTTAAATTTACTTTAATCTCTGGTGGTGTCATTTATTTCTGTGTGTGATTAAAACGATAGGAGATAGGCACAAATAATATCAGAAAAGCCTGGGAGTTTGCTAATCTTTAGTAGAAAGTGAAATATTCTTAAAGAGATTACAAAGTGTATCCAAAAGAATACTAAAATGATATATCTGTGTCTGATGTCTCCTTGCCTTCTTTCTTCTGCTGGGATTCTGGCGAGTATGCCACACACTGAAAAAATGGATTTAGTGAAAGGGGAAGAGTTCTTTGATGTTATTTAAATTTGACAAACCAGGTCACTATCCTCCCCCAAAACAACTCTCCGTACCTCCCAAGGAGTGAATTTAGAATCAAAAGAGATAAGTCCTAGATAAGAGCAGATAACCAGCAAGACAGAGAGAGACAAGGGAGATGAACAAGCTTAACACGAAGGAAATTTTGGAAATTGTACGGGGGGGGGGATAATTCTGGAGAATGGGAGCTTGTCAAAATGTCCAACCCCAGTCGGCCTTTATCCCGATCCTCCAAATCTACTCATGTTTGCCCCCTCCCCAGTGTCAGAAACAAACGAAACGAGGGGGGAATCCATCTGTGCCCCCCCCCCCCCCATGGCCAAAACTGTAACTGGGGCTTTGACAGTTTCCATGTCATGGCCAAAGAGGCAGGAGCAGAAACGAATCCGCAGCAGGGAAAAGGACCCTAAGGAGGCGAGCGATTTTCATCCCAACGTTTGTAACAGTTGAAAAAACAGAATCAAGGCTGGCTCTGGATTTCGGGGGAAGTGAGAGGCGATCCCGCCACATCTGGGTCCCTGCAGCTGCGAGAAACAAGCCGATCTGACGCTTAAACATCCTGGAAAGGTAACAAGAAAAGATCTACCCACCTTTGGTGATGTCGGAGGGCTAGGGCACCCCCTGGCTTGGCTTTTCACCTCTAGCTCGTTGGGACCCACTGGGAAGTGGGGCTTTCCCCCTCCCCCTCCTGGCTCAGGAGCCAAGTGCTGCCCTGCCAGCCTTTCCCTGCTCTCTCTCTCTCTCTCTTTCCCCCTTCCTCCACTCTCCTTCTCCTCTCCCACTTGGTGACTGGTTTCCCCACATCACGTGGCGGGGAGGCAATATCTGTTGCACCATCAGCCGGCGCCAGGCTTCATTCCTGTTTAAAAAAAAAAAAAAACACACACAGCAGCCAAAGTCCAGCAGTCTCTTCCCTGGCAGCTCCACTCAGCAGAGGAAGGGGCTTTCAGCTGGAGCCAGTTTATGACCCCCACATCCCACCTAAAGGGAGGCACGTGCCTTAAAGATCTGACCCTGCATGAAGCTTTCTGGGTCAGTGGCCCTCCCTGGGGACCCAGTTTATGCCTGGACTCTGTGGAACGTGGGGGTCATTGTGCGGGTCCCTATCGATGGGATCAAGGATCCAGACACAGGTTGTGGGGCCGGGGAAATGGGGAGAAGGGGGCAGGAAAACACCTTCCCCGCTAGCTATAAATGTCCCCTTTGCCGCACAAAAATATGTGGCTTTCCATGCTTCTACAGTCTAGGATTTTTTCCACTTTCCCATGGCATTCACAGTCCTAGGGCCCGGATCCAAAGGCCACTGAAATTGGACTCCCGTTGGCCTCAGTGGTCTTCTCATCAGGCCCCTAGCCAAGGGATGCTTGCAGTTTAGGGTCAGTACCTCAATAAATTGAGCCAAAGGGAAGTATGGCCAAAGGGTGACGTTTCTGCCGGGATGTTTCCAACTCTAAAGATGGTTTGGGAGCCATGAGGAGGGGGTTGTAGCTGGGCCCACCCTCTCTTCTAATAACTGCTCTGCAAATAAAACCTTTCCCCTGATTCAATCAAGTCCTCAGGCCTCCATGTGACAAAGGCATAGCCCCACATGTCTGCCTAGGCACATATGAAATGGATGTGCGGCCACATGTCAGCCTCTCAGGCAGGTCTAAAGGTTAATAGGGCAATAATAGAGCAATAGTGCTGCATAAAAATAACCATCTATTACCACGTAGCCTTCGGATTCAGATAACAGCAACAACCAGAGATCCGGGCTCAAGCGGGCCTCCAAGCTGTAGCCTTTTATCATTTCAAATGACTGATTTCCAATATCTGAAAGCGTTGCTATTTGAAAAGGAATACAGGGGCTATCTAAGACCAAGCCTGTATTAGTGAGTAAGCGAATTCCGCAGACAGTTACATTTCTATGCCCTGTGCTCCTGCATCCACTTTCTATCTCAGTTACACTGGTTCTGTTAAAACAAAACAAACACAATCCCAGCAAGGGATCGGATCCCCACTAGGCGGTTATAATCAACAAACCGCCCAGAATAGCCCGTTCCGTTTGGGGAGAAGGCTTTGGGTTTGGGTTTTCTTCATCGGAGGTTTATCATGGGCAAAATGTGATACATCTCTTGGAGACAAACAGCGATCCGACTGCGCAAGGGTCTCTGCGTAGAAAGAGCAGCCAAAGAGCTGAATGGGAACGTCCCATTAGGTCTAGCCCAGCGGCTAGATGGACTAAGCACAAGAAAAGAAAAATTGACGTCGGGAGACGTTATTAAACGGTGGAAGTCTCCGGTGTTATTTCTAACCCGCGGAGGTAATTGACCAGCCTCTGCGTGACCACTTGCTTCTGCTTGGCTTCTAATCACTGTACAACTGAATACAAATCGCGACGTGTTTAGACTTTTTCTCTGCTGCTTCTTTCTTTGTTCCTTTCTTTACACCGCAATCCGATTTTTTTTCTCTCTTGGGCATAGGTTTGTGTTTAGCTTTGTAGTTTTGACACAGTACAAATTTCTTTCTTTCTTTCAGTGTCAAGAAATGCGCAAGCCTGATCTACTTTACAACGCTGGCTGCTTTTTAGAAATCAAATCTTGAGTATAAAGGATGGAGAATATACCCTGGGTAGATCTCAGCTCTTCCTCCCCGAAGAACCCGGGAAATGTTTCCTAAATTGCAAAACAAAACAACACACACACACACAAACACAATGTTTTTAAAAGTTCTTGTGACATAACTTTAGACGCTAATGGATGCCAGTGCTAAGTACATGTCTTAGTTTGAACGCTAAGGAAAATAAACAGTTAGGATATCTGAAACAGGATGACACTTTTTAAAAATCCAAGAAACACGAACACCGAAACGGATTAAATTCCAAAGAAAAGCACCAAGAAATTATGATTTTTTTTTAGCTGATCTGATCGCATTTCGGATTCAAACTAGAAATCTCACTCTGAAGCCACCGGCAACCTTTTCCATTAAAACTGAAAACCAGTCTCATGAAGCAGAATAGGAGAAAACTCCATATTCGGAGATCCTTAGCTCATTGGGATGATTTGTGATTTTGTTTGTTTAGGTCAAAAATAAAATGTGTTTTGGTGAAATTCATATCCACTTCGAGCTGCTCCGCGAGTTGCTGTTGGAGACGTTGATTCGATTTGCTATTTTCAGAATTAGAGTCTTATTTTTGTGGGTTATACATAATTTCTTAAGATTGTACACGGAAGCGTGTATACGATCCATTCACATACACAATCTTCCTCCTATTTACAGGTACAATCTTAAGAAATTATTTATAATCCACATAATATAGCTACATATCTAGGGCTGTATAATCTATACTTTTATATATATATAAAAGTATATATTATAGATATACAGACATGCATAGAATAAAGTTATGCACACAGACACGCATTATATATAAATATATGTATGTGCTTGAATATGTGGGTGTATATATACATACTATATATGTGCGTGTATATATACATTATACATAAATATACACAAACATATACAATATTTATACTATATACAATGCATATAGAATGTTTTATATATATATATATACGCACACACATAGATAATGTGTATATGTGTGTCAAATATATCTGTGCGTATTTCTTTAAGCAGTTGTGTATCCATATGTAATATATTTCTAAAGAAGACATATTTGCCTTTTGAGTGTATTTTTCTCCTGCTCTCAGAAACCCAAGCGAGTATTTTCTTTCTCCGCAGCCTGAATGGGACCTGAGCCTATTAAGGTTGATTGAGATTCTGTTTAATACCAATGCTTTCTTTTTTAAACAAACGAGTTTGCCGTGGTTGCCAGGAGCAAGGGAAATTTCAAGGACCTGTCTGCATTCAGTTTATCTCCCGACTTGTTTCAGGACTTTCACAATCTGTCAGCTGCGTGCTCGGGAGTATTTCAAGAATAATAACAAAAATAAATGTTATAGGCGTTGTGTGTGGGGTGGGATTCGAACTCTCCGTCCAGGGAAATTGAATTCCCCTATAAAATAGCTCGCACTTTACATCCCAGGAACGCCTGATCCCGACTAGAGAGATAGCAGTTTTCTCTAGCTAATCTTGGAGAGAGAGGGAAATCGGCATATTAATTAATAAAATATATCGTTGCCTTTCACGTTTTTGTAAAGTGCTGACAAATATGATTAATTAGAAATTATATATATATATATATATATATATATATAAACGGAGATTAACACAGAAATGACTTTTCTCCATGGATGGAATCATTTTGCTACGACCTATCAATGACAAAGCACATTTTCATTCAAAATGAAACTGAGGGTTGAGACCTCCTGAAACTGAACTCTACAAAGGAGTCTGCCACTCCTGTTCAGTTCTGGAGAAAGAAAAAAATATTTCACTGTCTTTGCATTCCTTTTTGGAAAGGACCAAAAGAAGAAATGAATCCGGCAATGCCTCTTGGAGATAAAGCTTAAGAAAACATTTTTCGTGAGTGCTGGTGAACAATGAAGACAACTTTTAAGATCCGGCTGAATGGAAAAAAGAAGGTTATTGAAACGTTGTTAACTGTTCGTGCTATGCAGGACATTGATTGTACCATACATTAGACATTTATATAAAGGCTTTCACTAGAAAGAGGTTCCAAAAACCAGACCAGCAATCAGGCGCTATTTCAATACAGACTAGCAACAAAACCACTGTCCAAATGTGTGTCTACATATATACATTATTACACGTATGCATATTATATCCTTACATACCTGTGCGTGTGTCTGTGTGCACCCGCACATATTGTATACGAGTATCACGTGCATTAATATGATATACTATGGATGCATCCCTCTATAATATATATGTATGTGTAATATAATGTTATCAGGCATGCACAGGGCATGCATCATATACATGCGTATTATAGATTATAGACTTGATGCTAATACCGGAGCATTTCAAGTATTTCACACGAACCAAATAGGAAACGCTGCACACCCCAAAAGAGAGAGAGAAAAATTAAACCCATCAGAAGAAACACCAAGATTTTGCTCATAAGACACTGAAATATGATCAATGTTCGCAGCACCCCACTGCACGGCTGAAATATCGAGGTTGTTTAATTATGTTTAATTACAAGCTGGGTGGGAATGGCTGAGTAACCGCTGCGGAATCGGGCCCTCCGCGGAGGCTAAATCCTGACAATGAAATCTGAATCTTGAGGGCGGCGGGGGGGGGGGCTCTATTGTATTAAAATATTTGGGGGGGGGGTGAAGAAAAAGAAAGCAGAATCCTTGCGAAACCAGCTATAAAACAAGCGAATACAGGAGAAACGAGAGGATCTGACCAATGATTTACTCCCGCAGTCTCCTGACTTGCTATCACAACACGTGTTGCGGAGAGCTGGTTTATAACTTTAAAGCGGACGTTTTGAATTTAGTAACGCGTTATTTTAAAGGCCGAGATGCTGGATTTGCAAATCGGGTCTGTGCAGTCTTCCTCCTAGGTTCTTATCCTGCAATTTGCACCGGATTATGATGGTACCATCATGTGTCAAATCTATAGGTGACTATTACCTAACGCCCCACCTTAGCCCGAATTCCCGAATTAATCACACTAATCGGGCAGGGCGAGCTAGTGAAAAAAAGAAGCAGGAAATCAACGGAGACATTAAATAACAGACTCCACCTTCGTGCAACTGCGGTTGCTGGACACACCTCGCAAAGCGCCAGGACTGGCGGATTATAAAAAGGAGAAT